TATATATATAATATATGTATATGTGTGTATATACATTAACATACGTGTATAGCACTGCAATGAAGCATATCGCTGCTATACGTGGATGTAAGTGATCCTCATTCACTGACAAATGCCTGTTCACCCTTACAATACAGGAAAGTCACCAACAGCAACACTGATATACGACCATATGTCGCAAGATGAGTAACTGTGCTATATACGGCAATCTATGTCCACCCTGCATCAGCGAAATAAAGGTTGGCAGTCCTTGTTATACACAAAACAAAACTGGCTTAGATGTATCCCTTATTGATTAAGGTCCTCAATGCTCAATAGATATGCACATGTATGGTAATATCTCATATGCTTACCAGTAGCGGTGGTATGATGGTCGCAGGTTTACTATATCGTCGGTGCAAACCCTCGCTCTGGACCACCACACATATTTCAGTAATATATTTTTAAGTGAGACGCATTACAGTCACGATGTGCAGACGTGTAAAGCGGTTGTATCGGAAAAGAGGGAGCTTATAATAAATATTTCAAGCCCAGACAGGGCATGTTTCTATATGAATTGGTGGGATATAGTAAGGTGTATAATAAATGGTCCCAAACCACTTATAGAATGTTTCTGAATGAGAAGGCAGCGCATTACAGCTGACTACAGGAAAAGCGTAGTGGAAGAAAGGTTGAGATAACACTTTTTAAATCGGCATCACTCGGTCCTTTAAGCTGCATAATTCTTGAAGATTGATAATTGCTTCCATGTATTTTGTACGCACAAATAAGATGTATCTTGTATAGTACCTATATCTATCGACTGAACTAATCTTCAGAGATGGTCTAAGTACAATGGGAATGTTCAAACTTCTGTCACTCTCAGCATTTAACTGGCGAGACTACGCGTGCATACCCTGTTTTGTGTATACTGTACATACAAGTATACACTACATGCAATGTGAGTACATGTATATATATGCAAATATGTTATGTAGACACTGTACACAAGCGAATACAGGCTATGAGAACAGTACATATATGCAAGCATATTGACTGTACATCCATGTTATATGAAAATTTATGCAAGCATGCTATGTCGATACTGTAAATACCTGCATACATGTTATATAAATATCGTCCATATATGTATACATACTACGTATATTCTGTACGCACAAATGTATTATATAAAAGCTGAAAATACATGCATACAATATGCATAGCTGGAAACATATGTATACAAGCTATGCATGCATGCTACGGGTACACTGCATTCATGCCATTCAATCATATAATCCACGCAAGCTATTTGAACATATATGTATACATGTATAAACTTATATGTATACATGTATAAACATATATGTATACATGTATAAACATATATGCAAACATGTTATTTGGACATATATTCACATGTACAATGCATACATTGTACATTTGTGAACATATGCATACATAAATTGTATGTATATATATGTATATATGTATTATGCTATGTAAATAGCTAAAACAGTACATGAACACTACATACATCATATAAACGCATATCAAGTGCATACTACATAGTATATTCTACAATAAATCGTGGTTATTGAAATGCCTGCGGTTTCAGACAATCCAACATGCAAATCGTAGAGTACTTCATGAAGTGCTTGAAAATATCATCTGATCCGAGAGTATCTCACATTAATCATAAGTAGCCTGCACGCGAGTTCATACGAACTTAGGGTAAGTCAGACTCACACAGTACAAATGTTTGCTCCCGTGCCTTGGAAAGTGTGTTCAAAAAGGTCATACCGGAGCCAAGTGTACAGCCACCACTATCTCTTGTGGCGTTTGTTCCATACTCGACCACATCGATTCTGTCTGTTCCAAACAATTAAATAAAGCAAATTTCCCTTATATTTATCCCAAAGTAGTTTCGTTTCGCACATATTCCATCCCACGCTCCAACTCTAACCTCCTCATCGACGGCGGTGCCACTGTGAACCACTTACATACTAAATTCGAACACCTTGAGAATTTAGGGCACGGCTCATTTACCCTACAGCTCGCCGAGGATAGCACACGTCAGATTACCACTCGTGACACCCTTCAACCCCTCGTATACACGTATGTCAGCAATCAAGTAAAACAACAGCTGGTCTCTCAGAACCAGCTCCAAAATACAGGGTTTACACTCAATTTTGCTGCCGATCGACAAGCTTGCCACCTAAGCTACGGCTCTCGCCAGCTCAACCTATCTCGTGCACAAGGGGACTACCGTCTCCACTACGGCCAGCTGCTTAGCGCCGCCTCTTCCTCGGCAACCACAAGCACCCTACAACCTGCACCTACTGTACCATCGCAACCACAGGTTGATATGGTTCATCCTTCAATATGGTTCTCTTACGGTACAACCACCTCCACAAGTTACCACGGTTCATCCCCCAACACAGAAGACCGCCCCACCCCCACATGTACCCTTCTCAAGTCCACACACTCTTCCGGCCACCCCAGCCACCTCCAACAGGGTCCAAACCTACGACGAATACCATTGCAACCTAGGCCATAAGAGTTGCACCACGACTCTGAAGATGGCCACGAAAGATAAAGTTACTCTCATCCATCCTCCATCGCCAGGCATAAACGCTGAAGAATGGATGCTGAACAGGACCAACTTTTCTCACGACAAGGGCCATCTCGACTATACACCCACTATCGACTTCTTCGCTTCCCCGAAGGCCGCACAACTACTCCGATTTGTTAGCCCCTACGGTGGAGGTGCATTCACCGACTGCTTCAGTTTCGGGCTCCGCCACTTTAGACTCCATCCGCATCAAATGGGCCCACCTCGCTCTCGACGGCAACAGTTATGACAAATGGCTGTCCCTAATTACATATCTTCCTCGGCAAGTTCCAAGTTGACATCCCAGTCGGTACTCTACTTCAAATACATCTAGAAAGAGATCTTAGCTCACCAAAAGGCTACTCCAGTGGTCTCACGCACTCCGGGTCTCGATGGGGCTCGCGTCGAGCAAGCTGATACTTTCAGAAAGAAGACTATCGCCGATGGCACTTAGCACAAGGCCCGCACACGTCCCTTGAACTGAACGAGGATCCATAGGCAATTTCCTTCTATCTCTGCAAGACATATCGACACATGTCCTTCGAGATATCCAACACCATAACTTTAGAGATCTTCCAGACCTTCAAACGCAGTGATGAGGACACGATTCGCGTCTGGTCCAAACGGGTCGTCCTGGTCGCGCGCGAAGCTGAACTCCAACACACCACCTTCTCACCGATCTTCATCCAAAGATGATCCTATCTCTTGTAA